TATAAAACCTCCAGGTCCTGGGGCTGGAGAGATGGCTCAGTGGTTCAGAACATTGACTGTTCTTGCAGAAGACCGGTGTTCGTATCCCAGCACCCACATGGCAGCTAGTAACTGTCCATAACTCCAGTTCCAGAGAATCTAACAGCCTCTTCTGTCCTTTGCGGGCATGGCACGACACAGGTGCACTTACCTACATGCAGGCCAATACATGCATGCACATAAAATAAAAATAATAAAATATTTAACAACAACAACAAAAAAAAACCCTTCAGGTCTACCTCCAGTGTTCCCCTCCCTCCAAGGCACCCCACCTCTTAGGTTCACAACCTTCCCAAACAGTGCCACCAGCTGGGGAATAAGTGTTCAAACCAACAGCCTATAGGAAGCCTTTCACACCCAGCCCACAACAAATAGCTTGAGTGGCGTTGTTATACAATCAATTGATCTCCATAACTTCTTCAACTTATAAAACTGAAACTCTGTGATCATTAAACACTCTCTATTCCACTCCCCCTCCCTAGTCCATAATAAGCATCCTATGAATCTGACTACATTGCATACTCATGAGTTGATTTATGCCCCCTCCCATCTTATGTTAAAGCCATAATCCTTATTTCTTCACAATGTGACTATATTTGGAGAAAGGGCCTTAAAGAGATAAAGTCATTTATTTGTTTTTTGTTTTGTTTTTAGACATCATATCATGTATCCCAGGCTGGCATCCACTTCACTATATAGCACAGGGAAAACCCTGAACTTCTGAACCTCTTGTCTCCACACTCTCAGTGCTGAGATTTCAGGCATGCACCACCATACCTGTTTGTGCAGTGCTGGGGATTGAGCCCAGGGCTTAACGTATGCTAGGCAAGCACTCTACCAACTGAGCTACATCCCCAATCGAGATAGCATTAAATGGAGCTGCACAAGATTGGCCCTGATCCAGTATGACTGGAATTCTTATAAGATGAAGAAGTTTGGACATGTTAAACAGACTCTGGGGTATGCGTGCAGTGGAAAGATCATGTGAAGGTAAAGAGAGGAGGCTGCTATCTACAAGTTTTGTATTTAAACAATCAATTTTGTAGTATCTTGCTATGGCAGCCATCAGTAAATGAATTATTTTATGCATTATGACTGGTTTATTTTACTTAGAAGTATATCCTCAAGGATCACATATGTTGTGGCATGTGATAAAGTTTCCTTCCTTTTGAAGGCTGAATGATATTCCATGATAAGCATATACCACATTTAGCACTCATCTATTCATAAAACTATCAAGTTGTTTGAACTTCTTTGCTATCGTGAGTAATCTTACTATGAACATGAATGTGGAAATATTTGAGATCCTGCTTTCCATTTTTTTGATACATATACCCAGAAGTGTATCACATGGTAGTTATATGCTTAATATTTTGAGGAACTACCAAATTGTTTCCTATAATGAATACACAATTTATGATTCCACTGAGTGCACAAAGATTTGAATCTGTCCAGTCTCACCAATATTCATTATTTTGTTTTATTTCAAAGTAGTAACCCTCCTAAAGGATATGAGTGCATATCTAATCATGGGTTTTTAAAATTTCATTTAGTCCTACCTACATGCAGGCAATATACTCATACACATAAAAATAGTAAGGCCAGGTGTGGTGGCTCATGTGTTTAATCCCAGCACTTGGGAGGCAGAAGCAGGCAGATCTCTAAGAGTTTGAGGCTAGCCTGGTCTACATAGCAAGTTCCAGGCCACCTGGGGCTACAGGGAGACCCTGTCTCAAAAATACCAAAAATATGGCCGGGCGTGGTGGC